CGGGCCCTCCAGTGGAGACAGACACCGAAGCAGCAGGTACGGAAACCTCTGGCAGTGCGGACACTAGCTGGGACTGAGCAGCACAGTGGCTAGACTCAGGCAGCAACAGTGGGTTGCAGTCCTCAAAGAGCTGAAAGTGTTCCCCAACACACTCAGCAGAGGACGGAGGCGGATGGGTGAACTCACTTGAATTCTCAGGGGGTGCTGAGAGCCGAGACTATTTAGGTGAGTTCTCTGGTGGAGCTGCTGGCACTGGCGTCTTGACCTCTAGGGGTCCAGAGTTGGCTGGTGACTGACACCCAGACTGAACTGATAACTGTACTGCTAACTGTGTTACAGACCCCACATTGAATTGTGGTGAAGGTGTGGATGGGGGGATATGGTCAGGAAAAACTGTTTCAGGGAAGTTTATTGCTTTACCTGAAGGAACTGATGCAGACGAAAAGGCTCCCCTAACATAGTCATTCCCTAAACTCGTAGTGCTAGACTCAGTAACTCCAGGTTTAGAAACAATAGCGTGAACACAGTCATTAACCCTGAATGTGGGCTCAGCAAAGGCAGTCTTTGGAGCAGTGGCCACGGGTGCGACGGAAAAATCATTGTTATCTTCAGAAGACACACAAAAAATAGCTCCAGAAAACACAGTCACAGAACCTGACGCAGCAGAAAAAGTGTCCCTTTCACTCACCACAGCCGGCTGCTTATATGTCCCAACATCTGGCTGTGGAGTGCCGCGCCGGCGGGCCGGGAAACTCCTCGTCCGGCGGGTCGGACAGCACGTCCTCCATCGAAGCAAGTGGGCGAGCGGTAGCGGCGGGAGGGTAAAGCTCGTGAAGAACAAAATTCTGTACTAGCGGGTGCAGTGAGCCCAATAACCAGGGGTAACCGGAAATAAGTTGTTGTAGCTTGTCTTCCACAGCATAGAGAAACGCTTCTCCCTCATGTTCTACCCACAGATTGATTAACCTTGAAGCGGAGTCGATAACGGCCTCCTGAAGCTCCCTGGGTGGGTTGAATGCCACTGGATCCATATCTGGCTGGTCCGTACTGTCACGGCGAGTTGAGTGAGCTGTGTGGAAGAAAGAAAAGGAGGATCCAAACGCAGGCACTAAAGGTGTGAGGGTGGTTTATTAAACACAAAATAAAAATGGGCAAACGGCAAAAGGAACAGAAGGCTATCTAAACTGAGAACAACTAAACTAGTGAACACAAACCAAGACATGATCATGAAGGAGGATGAGCAGCGGAGAATGACGACAGATGACAGCAGGGAGAACACACAGATGAAGCATGGTGGATACACAGACGGACCAGCAACTATTTTTTTAACAACACAGAATTACAACAGGTTTTAACAGATCTTCAAAAATAAAAAATTCCCCCAAAGTAGCAAAAAAATAGAATAAAATAAAATTGTGCACAAGTGAAGAATTAGTCTTTTTTTTAAGTCCAAATGGTAACGGTGGGGCCCATGACAAACGGGTGTATTGCAATAGAGTCCGTCCGATGAGGAGTGTGTGTGTGTGATTGTTTGTCCTACCATACTACTTGTACAGTAGAGGATTGTAGTCGATCAATGTGCAAATGATTGTGCGTGTGTATGTATATCGTCTCCTAGGATCTTGGGTTGGCTCTCCGTCCAGTGAACACTGGAACACTCTGGGTTCTGGAATCGCTGACCTGGTCTTTGGATTCGTCCCATATAAAAACCTGACCTATAAACAATGGTCCAATATATGTCACGAACAATTTAAGAATAACTCTCACAAATTAAACTAAAGTAGTGTCACACTGCAGTAACTACTATTCAGATCAGCTATCATCAATTCAATCATTATCAGTTCAGTCATGTTGTACAACATTAAGATATCAAGTTTCAAAGTTGAAAGTATCAGTCTTCAAAATTTAGTTGTAACCTGCAGCAATGTTAGAGATTATCTACAAGGCTTCAAACATTCAGGAATTATAGTCACCATATAATTCACTTTTCATGGTAAACATTCATTAGATCCATCAGATATAAAATCATTGTTGGAGCAATACACAAACGCTTATCAGAAACCGAACAAAGTGCAAATAATTTCAATAACATGTAAACACAAGGACTCAGTCCACGAATAGGAGTATTAGAATAGATGTGCTTAATCCCGCTTGTATCATAGGCCTACTAGTACAAGTGGAAATACACTAAAAATTACCTCCAAGTATTCAATACTGAGTACAGTTGAACCCCGACTTACGAAATTAGTCGAAGCACCCATCACGCCTTTTGAGTGAACGATAGGTTATAGGCTAATTGGTAACTGCAACAACAATATGTCGTTCAAGTGGAACAGCGAAGCGCAAGTACGAAAGCCAAGGGGGTTGTCACATGATTTGGAAGGCATTGTGGGCATTGTAGGCATTCTAAGATCAGCCAATCAGAGCCAGCGGATTTCGTTACACGGGCATTTTGCCGTTAAATGCCGTTAAGTGCCTTCGTAACTTGAAATTTCCGTTAAATGGGGTATTCGTAAGTCCAGGTTCCACTGTATTGTAAAACAACTGATTGACATCAAAAAATTAAGCAGTAAGCAGCATAAAGTCTGATGGTATTTTAACTCGTTAGAGATTAATTTCTTCAGCTTACCGATAACAAAGTTTTAGCCCGCCTGCTCTGTTCGGCTGTAGAAGCAAGAGACCTTGAGTCCACACCTTGACCACCTGGTCAGCTGGACTGGGACAAAAAATCGGTCCGGGCATTTTGACTAGAGAGTGGCCACCAGGTATTATAGAAAAAACCATAAAGCCTTTGGATGAAAGCAAACGCTGTTGTGACAGTGATGTACACTGTCTTGTTGGTATATATGTATGAGCTCTAAACAGTTTACATCAGATGACCACTTAAGGACATCTCTTGATTTCACCTTCGTGTTTCCCTCTCACCAGATATCCAAACCGATATCATGACAAGCAGCTTTTACGGCTGTGGCTCCAGTAAACATCAGCTGATACTAGAAAGTAATATTAAATGAATTCTAACAACAACTGCTTAAATGTGCTGCTGTTGTTTAGCGCGAAATCCGCTGGTTTCCTCTTTCTGGTGCAAAGTGGGCGATAAACAAACAA